GGTTCCGCCGGTGGCGGGACGGGGCTGGAGCCGGGCTGGCGGCGGGGACGGGGGGACGGGGCACCGGGGGCGGTCGTGGATCCCGGGCGCGCAGCGGGCGGCTCCCGCTGGGCAGGGCCCGGCCTCGGCCCCAAAACATCCGGCTGGGCCGGCTCGGCGTTGCCTCGCCCCGTGCTGCCGCGTCCTGCCCGTGTCCTGGCAGTGCCGTGCCCGTGTCCCGCCTGCCGTGGGTGTCCCTTCCTTGCCAACTGTCCCCTGCMTGCCGTGTGTCCCCTGCTTGTCGTGTCTCCCCTTCCTACCATGTCTMCCCTTCCTGCCATGTGTCCCCTGCCCTCTGCTCTCCCCCTGCCCGCTTCTGACCGCGAGTTCCCTCCCGCAGGAGATGGAGCTGGAGCCGCGGGGGAACGGCCTGGAGTAAGTGAGGGCGGCCTGTGGGGGGGTGTGCAGGCAGGGGACAGGCTGGGGACAGGCAGGGGACAGGCTGGAGGGCTGTTCCCGCTCACGCCCTCTCCCACCAGGCCGGTGGGACACTATGAAGAGATCGAGATTTCCGAGAGCAGCGTCAACAACGGTCCCGAGCACATCGGTCCCCACTGCTTCGAGCTGCTCCGAGTCCTGGGCAAGGGTGGCTACGGCAAGGTGGGGGCACGGTGGGGCTGGGGGTGCTCTGAGAGGGGTCTGGTGCTCCCTGAGGGCGTCCCCAACCTTCCCTCGCTGCCCTTCCAGGTGTTCCAGGTGCGCAAAGTGCAGGGCACCAACACGGGGAAGATCTTCGCCATGAAGGTSCTGAAGAAGGTAGGGCCGCCCCGGCCCCCCCAGCCCCCCCGGGGACCCTCCCCACTCACCGCCTCCCCCCCAGGCCAAGATCGCCTGCAACGCCAAGGACACAGCGCACACCCGGGCGGAGAGGAACATTCTGGAGGCCGTCAAGCACCCSTTCATCGTTGACCTCATCTATGCCTTCCAGACGGGCGGCAAGCTCTACCTCATCCTGGAGTGCCTCAGTGGTGCGGGATGGCTGGGGAGTCCCAGGGATCATCCAGGGGGTGCCAGGGATGGCTAAAAGTTGTCCCAGGGATGGCTCAAGGGGTTCCAGGAATGGCTCAGGGTGTCATGGGATGGCTACAGTGACCAAGGAGGGTGTCTGGGAATGGCTCAGGGGTGCAGGGATGGCTTAAGGGTGTCCCAGGATGGTTTAGATGTTCCCAGGGGTGATTAAAGGGATGGCTCAGAGGATCCCTTTTGTGTTCTCTTTGCAGGTGGAGAGCTCTTCATGCAGCTGGAGCGGGAAGGAATCTTCCTGGAGGACACTGCCTGGTAGGGGTGTGGTGGTGGCGGGCGTGGAGTGGGGGGTGGGCACCCCAATACTGCTCACAGCGCCCCGATCCCGCTGCAGTTTCTACCTGAGCGAGATCACGCTGGCACTGGGCCACCTGCACTCCCACGGGATCATCTACCGCGATCTTAAGCCGGAGAATATCATGCTCAACAGCCAAGGTGGGCTTGGGGGGCATTTCTGGGGGGCTTGGGGGGGTCTCTGGGGGCGATGATGACCCCGCCATGTCCTTCAGGTCACATCAAGTTGACGGACTTTGGGCTGTGCAAGGAGTCCATCCAYGACGGAGCTGTCACCCACACCTTCTGCGGCACCATCGAGTACATGTGAGGTGGATGCAGCACTGGGGGGAATTTGGGGGGTCTTCCCTGGGCCTGCATCCACTCAGGGCCCCTCCCTGCACCCCCCAGGGCCCCCGAGATCCTGGTGCGGAGCGGGCACAACCGGGCGGTGGACTGGTGGAGCCTGGGCGCCCTGATGTACGACATGCTCACCGGATCGGCAAGTCCCGCTGCTGCTCCTTTCCTCCCGGGGACTGGGGGGGATCCCAGGGTGGCTGGGGGTGACCCCGAGCCCTCCTGGCCTGCCTGGCTCTTCACGGCCCCCCCGGTGCCCCCCGCAGCCGCCGTTCACCGCCGAGAACCGCAAGAAGACCATCGACAAGATCCTCAAGGGGAAGCTGGTGCTGCCGCCCTACCTGACGCCCGAYGCCCGCGACCTTCTCAAGAAGGTGCCTCCCCCAAATTTTTCTCACGTCTCCCCATCCTTATTTGTGTAGGTACAGTCCCCATTCCCATCTCTATCTCTCTTTCTCTTGCAGTTCCTCAAGCGTAACCCCAGCCAGCGGGTCGGGGGTGGCCCCGGTGATGCGGCTGATGTGCAGGTACAGGGTTGGGCGGGCGATGCCGGGGGCACCCTCCCAATCCTGCCTGACACCCCCAAATCCCACAGAAACAGCCCTTCTTCCGCCACATCAACTGGGAAGACCTGCTGGCGCGCAGGCTGGACCCCCCCTTCAAACCCTGCCTGGTATGGGGGGTGCAGGGGGAGGCTGGGAATGTTTTGGGGGGCCCCGTGGGAGCAGCCACCGTGTCCCCTGCAGCAATCAGAGGAGGACGTGAGCCAGTTCGACACCCGCTTCACCCGCCAGACCCCCGTGGACAGCCCCGACGATGCTGCCATCAGCGAGAGCGCCAACCAAGCCTTCCTGGTAGGGGGGCACAGCTGTGGGGGGAACCCCYGGTGCCTCCACACCTGCCCACTGACACCCCCAAACCCGCAGGGATTCACCTACGTGGCCCCCTCGGTGCTGGAAAGCATCAAGGAGGGGTTCTCCTTCCAGCCCAAGGTGCGCTCCCCCCGCCGCCTCAACAGCAGCCCCCGCACCCCCGTCAGGTACGGGGCATGGAGGGGCCAGGGGTGCTTTGGGGTGGGCAGGTTTGGGGTGGGGATGTCAGGGTGGGCACCAGGAAGGGGACAGAGGACGGTGCTGGGGTGAAATGGGGTGTGCAGAGAGGGTAGGGGGGCTCAATCTGCCCCATCCTGGGGTGCAGAGAAACTGAGGGGGCAGTGGGGTGATGGTTTGGGGTGCTTTTGGATGTGGACATCA